CAACTGACGAAAGGAATATTCCATACTGTATGACATCATGCTCAGTTTATAAAGCTGGCGGAAGATGGAAGGAAGGGGATGTTTGGAGTTATGCCATTTGTCTTCCCAAGTAACCATTACGTGTGATGGAGCCCTGCTTTCCTGGAGATGGCTGAACACCTGCCTACCCATGGGAAGCAGTGCATGAATTCCTGGCTTTGCTTGTATGCACGACTTCTGCTTTACTTATTCAACTGTCTTTATCTCAAACCACGAATTTCCTCACCTCTACTCTTCCAATTCTCTCCCCCATCCCACTGGCAGAAGGTGAGCGAGCAGCTGTGTGCTGCTTGGTTGCCAGCTGGTGTTAAACCATGACAATCCCCCAACATGGGGCTCAAAGGGTTTGAGATAATGACAGATTTGATTGGAATGCACTAGACCACATTTATAGCATTTATAGCTTGTTATTGCTGTTTAGCTATCAATTGGTAGACTCCTGTGCTCGCCATGGGGCTTGCTTGCCTTACTGTGTATTAGACACTGTTGCTGATTGCTGGGCTGCTATACTGTTTATCATCTTACTGCAGTCTGTGGATAAATCCAAACAGGAGCAGGGGCAAGAGAAGGAGTTCATTGCAATGCTAAACCCTACAACCTGGCCCAAAGGGACACGGCGTAGAGATTATAATGGCAATACCTTTAAATTGTTGTAACCCAGGATTTGAGTTGCATTATTACGGGAATTACTACAGCAGGAGCCCCTGGTTGCTAGCCAGGCCAGGAGCCAGGGGAGGAGTTCATTGCAATGTTAAACCCTGTAACCTGGCCCATAGGGACCAGGGGTGGAGATTATAATGGCAATACCTTAAAAGTGTTGTACCCCATTATTTGAGTTGCATTTTATGGGAATTACAATAGCAGGAACCACCTGAACCAACAGAGGACAAGCCTTACAAGAAGCAGTGCAAGCGCAGCGCTGACCTGACCTGAGGTGGCTTTGGTGCCCACTAACTCCATGTAACACACCACCTCTCCTGTCCAGAGTGACCACCGTAACAGATGGAGCCCAAAGTCACAGACAGACTAAATTAACTCAGTGGACATTTTGTGGACATCTTACAGCAGTGATCTATCGACTAAGGGAATGATATCTGTGTATTATACCAAAGGGTGGAAATAGGCGTAGGGGCTAATGAGGGGGTTAATAAGGATGTATATCTCCCCATCCCAGCTGGGGAGAGTAGGTGGCTGTGTGGTACTTAGTGGCCGGATGGGGTTAAACCACAAGGGTCCTGCTGGTAGTGAAGGTAGGACAGCACTGTGTTGGTATCCCAACAACTCACTTTTGTCTCCATCAGCTGTGAAGCATTAATCTGGAGCCATACTAATGTACGCACTCTCAATCTTATACAGTGCATGAAACCATGGTTATGTTTTTATGTATGTCCATATGATTAAAATAGTTATGAACCTCTCACAGAGCAGACCTCATCTATCACTTGGACTTGGGTCCAAGCAGATCTCTCTTCTGTGCTCTTGGGCTGAAAGTGCAAGATCACAGTACATGTTTGATCCCCAAAATACCCCTTAGCAAGTGTCTTCAACTCAAGAGCACTGAATAAACAAGCATATACATTCTTGTGTACACACAGCATCAGACAAAGAATAAAAGAATTGTCAAGTCTATTGCTCTATACATAAGTTTTGCACCACCTGAATAAATACACCACCTGACCTTGCTGAAAGAGCTGCTTGTATATAACACATTTGAAAGACAAAATTTCATGCGAGTCTTTCCATACCCATGACTGGAACTGTAAACTCCACAAATAAACAAGACACAGACCTGTGATCACTAAAAAGAGTAATTTTTTTAAAGTCTGAGACAGTTCTACAAACTGACACATGATTAAATATTGTAACTTGAAACTGATGGGATCCCCTGTACTTTACCCACACAGATGTCTATAGATGTCACACCCCAAACAAATGACATTACTTACCATAAACATAACCCACGCATGCCTGCTGCACCGCTGAATAAGGAATCCCAGCATCAGCTAAAGCCTTTTGACCTAAAAAAAGTTGGAAAGTTGAAAAAAAGAAATTAAATATTGAAGGGAAAGAAAAAAAAAAAGCAGCAGTTCTCACAACCATAACAAGCAAACCTACAGCAGTATGTATGATTCATGCACTCACAAATAAGAAAAAGAGAGCACTGGACAAATTCCTTATTACATAATGAGAATGGTTAATATAGTCCTGCATCTTAATTCTCGTAAGGACAATTTTGCAGTATTTTGAGTTCTGAACATGAAAATTTCATCTAATCAATTCTGTGTTCATGCACAAAGGTTGTGTGTCCCAGTGAAAGTATGTTTGAATAATACAGATAGGTATGAGATTATTTAAGTGTCCAATTTAATGGTAAGCTCTCCTTTTGACTTCAGTATTGGAAGGCAGTGAGTTGAACAGCTGAGTTAGTAATTTTGTGGAAGTTCTCTTTTTTTAATCATTTTTTTATTTGCTTCTATTTACTGAACAGTAGCTGTTCCTTCATACATATAGCAAAAAGATTAATTGTAAGACTTAAAACAAGTTTCAGCAATCAAACTAAATGCTTTCTTTATTAACTATAAAAATATATAACATAACTATATATAAATAATATATAAACATATAAGTAATTAATTTATTATTAAATTACCTGCCTCCTTAGCCATGTCAGGATAATCAACGCTCTTCTCATTAGGCTTTGCAAACTGACAAGAAAAAAAAAAGAACATATCAGAGATTTAATACTTCTTTTGCTCAAATTAGTATATTTAAAAGCTTGTATTTAACTTAGAAACAGGTTTGTAAACAATCAGTTTTAAATAATACAAACATTTTAATTGACCCAAAAGTGCATGCACAAAATCTCAACAATTTCCAAGTGCTACTGCCAGACCCTGCAATGTCTAAAACCAGGAAATAGTGCGATTTTATGGAAGTTGAGGATCATTTATGCTCTGTCTTAAAGAAGATCCATGACTTGCACGGAGATGGACAATAACTCTGTCCAAGGGCTGTGGGTGTAACAGAGAATAACTATCATCTTCACTGATTCATTATAATACATGACACAACTTTCACTAAGGCTTTGATAAATACTTCCCTTTCACTTTATTTTGTTATACTCCTATTCGTAACCAGAAAATGCTTGTTCTTTGTACGCAACTTAGTTGCACATAAGCCTCTCTTTCCTAAGCCTTATTCAACTTTGGTACAAATGCTATAGTACCTTATCCCTCACTACTGAAGTGGAGGTGGTATTTATATTTTCTTTGTAGTATGACTCATTAGAGTCTATCAACAAACATGTTTTGCATTTTTACATCATTAATAAAGAGTATCACTGATTTTTAAAAAATCCTCACACTAACTTCTTACAGCTCTACAAATTATTTGACGTTCACTGTTAGCATATAAAAGTTAATTTGCTACCTCCTTATGCTTACCTCCCCAACTCCAGTCTTTCGCAACACTTAGCTGTACTTTCTGTAGTGCCTCTTTTCCTTAATTTAGACAGGGAACCTTCATACTGAAGGTATTAAAAGAAATCAGTCAGTGATTTGATCATTGTAAAAAAACCTGTCAGAGTGATTGACGTAAGTTGGGCTAACAAAGAGGGGGAAAAAAGAGTATTGATAATTTCTCAAATCATGCTAAAATTCTGAAAATGAAAGGCATGATCTGTGGAACTGACAGATACATACAGAAGAAACATGGGTTGTTGTTTTGAGAAGGTATACCGGTTTTTAGCAGACATTACATCATTATGATTAAAAAAAAAAAGAGAAAGGATACAATCCTAAAAGACATCACAATAAAATGCTTAAGATGCAATCTGGTGTCTGACAGGTTTTAGTTGTCTCTTTCCAAGGTGAGGTCAAATAACTTCCAAAACTACCTTCTGTGACCCAGACCAATAAACACAATCAACAGGATGAAGTCTTCCTCCCCTACCACATCACACACTGGAGAAATACCCATGCAGCAACATAAATTTAAGAAGTGGGGATTTTGTTCTGATTACTCTGGCAAATACCATAGAATCATAGAATGGTTTGGGTTGGAAGAGACCTTAAAGATCAGCGGGGACCTTAAAGATCACCAACCCTCCTGCCGTAGGCAGGGACAGCTCCACTAGACCAGGATGCTCAAAGCCCCATCCAACCTGGCCGGTATCAAAGGCATCTTAAGCTTCACCAACAGGGAGAAAAAAAGGTTCCTCTAGCTTTGCTTCTCTTGGACAGTGTGCCGCCCCGTGTGAACTCTGCTGCCCGCAGGATGAGGGACAGGACGGCACCCGGGGGGCACCTGCTCCGCTGCCGCCATCTCCCCCCGGGGCCTCCACGGCGATGGGACGAGCCCTTGACCAGCGGTGGCAGTGACACGGGGACACCCTCTGGCCCTCACAAGCCTGTTGTATCGACCTGCTCGACGCAGCCCCAGAACGTTTGACTTGGCGGGTGGCTCCATCCCTCCCCCCCGACACACCACCAGCCCAAGGTGAACTTTGCGCGGAGCCGCTGCCGCCCGGGCCCAGGCTGGCCCCGCACGCGTCTCCTCAGGCAGCGGCCTGGGGCGGGGGGGAAAGCACGGCCGCCCAACAAGGCCGCCTCCCCCTCAGCGGTGCCCACCGGGGGACGCCTCAGAGGAGCCCCCCTCGGCCTGACACCTCCCCCCCGCCACACACACACACACCGGGGCGGGGGGGCGCCGAGTCCCGCACGCCCTGAGCGGCGCGGAGCCCCGTACCTTGGTCATACCCACGCCCACCACGAACACCCGGCGCTGCATGATGATGGCGGCGGCGGTGCGGGCGCGTGCCCCTTCCTCGTCCTCGCGCTGCTTCCCGCCGGCCGAGTGCGACGCCGAAACCCCCCCCCCACACACACACAGCTGAGCGCGAGGGGCGGAGCGGGCACGCGGGAGGCCCCTCCTCCTCCTTAAAGGCGCAGCGCCCCCTCCGCGGTGACTCCCGGGAGACAAGGCCTCGGGGGCCGCGCCTCCGGGGTGCGGCGGAAGCCGGGGAGCAGCGCCATGATACGGCTGGGGCGGGCGGGCTGCCGCCTGCTGGGCTGCGGCGGCGGCGGACCCCATGGGGCCGTTCCGCGGCGGGGCGCGGAGGTGCTGGTGGGCACGGCCGGCGGGGAGAGCGGCGGGGAGTGCGCCCGCGGGGGGGACCGGCGCGAAGCCCCGGCGCTGGGTCCCGAGGGGCCGAGCGGGTGTCAGAACCGGGTTTCGTGGCGCTGCCTGTTGATCCGCTCAGTTTGACCGATTCCTGGTGAAAACGCGGCAGCTCCCGGCCCGGCGTGTGCGGGGCCGCGGGTGTTTCCTCCCCGCACCGCGGCCCCGCCAGGCCCCGCTGTCCCTCAGGCCCTGCGGACGCTGGACCTGTCCCCGTGTCCCCGCAGCACTGTCCTGTCCCCGCGGGGGGGTCCGGCAGCCCCGACCCCCCCCCGGTGCCCTCCTCACCCCAGAGGTGGCGGGCTGCCCCACAGAGCCCACAGAGTGCAGGGTCCTCACAGTCTCTTCCCTTTAACTTCTGCCTTGATAACTTTTTTCCAAGAAAGCAGCAGCCAAATACATAAAATAACTAGCTCGGTGCGTTGTTTTAAGTTACATCCACAGGAGATCTCAATAGTCAGGTTTGCAGAGCTCAGGGTTTCCCTGATCTCCAGGTGGGACAGGCCCAGGGCACGTCCGTGCTTCGTTATGCACCGCAGGCACCGAGCCATTTGCGTGTTGGTTGACGGCCAGAGGAAAGTAACTATTGCCAGAGCTTAAAATCAGTTCCTGGTAGGTTTGCTACTCACATTTAGTTACCAGAATTGTGAGTTGTTTGGTGGTCCCCCCCATTGCCTGTGTCTCTGTTCCTCTGTACTACCTGGCCGCTGGCATAGGAGTAGACAGAGACCTTCTCGTGGGTCAGGGGGACCACAGATGACAGATGCAAGGTGCCTACAGCGCCTACAGCAGCAGCATCATCTTAATGATACTGAGGCCTGGGGAAGTGGGCAGAAGCCCAGCCAAGGAAACAGGAGAGATTTTTGTTCTCCAAAGCATACAGGAACCATTGGATAATAATTTACGAAACGCAAGCGCAAGGGAGAAGTAGGTAGATGTTGTCTTATTTTTCTGCTTGGACTTAGGAACTTTGAGTGAACTCCTTTCCACTGGTGAGTTTATTAATGCTAAATCGAATGGAGCTGTTGTTTCAAAATGGGTCTGGAGCATGAACTGAGAGGGACCGCTTTGTGCTATTCTCACGCACACAGCAATCCCAAGAGGATGGTTTTCTCCAATAAGGAATGGCCTCAAACACAGTAAGACTGTACAATAAAAACTGAATTAAGTAACATTCAAAACAGAAACCTAACATGGATCGTTTGGGGTTTTTTTTCCATTCCTACAATGATTCTAAGATAGATTCATGGATGTCATGTTTGTTTTTTAACAGTCTGCTTATTTATATTACTCGCAGTGCTAGTGAAGTTTATAATTGCCCTGCAGAGCTGCATTTCCTAGATATCATCTGCCACCTCCACTTTTAAAATAACTGATTGTTTTAGAATATACTTTATATGCATTCTCAGGAAAGATGCAGCACACGCAGATATTGTTCCCAGTTGAATTACTGTGTCAGAGAATTAAATGAAGTGTAACTGAAATTGTCTCCTATTACTAAGGTATTGCTGAAATCCTAATGAACCGACCCCACGCGAGAAATTCACTGGGAAAAGTATTTGTAAATGAAGTGAGTATGGGCCTGGCCTGTAAACGCGTTTGGAATCATGATCAATAACTAAATGCAGTAAGAATAGCTGTGGGAAATCTGCAACAAAAACGTAATCTCTTGCTGAAGGTGAGTGGGAGATGGTGTTGGGGCGAGCAGGTTGGCCTGGAGAAAAAGGGATCGTGATGCTTCTGGACTGCGGGAACTCTGGATGCGGACTGGACAGAGACACTGGAGTTATTTAAGTTAGCTAATTGATGCAAGTTAACATCCTTACTTGCATAATTTCAAGAAAAGCATACCTACTGTCAGGCCTTAGCAGGTGATCGGTTGATTCATTTAAGAGCAAGTCTGGCTCATGCCTGGGCAGGACGGGGAGTTTAAGGTGCAGCAAAGGTTTGTCTCTGAGTGGAAGAACAAAAGAGATGGGGAAATGTGTCATTCTGAGGCTGTCGTGGAAGGATCCTGCTGGTTCCACATGCACGATTTTTCAGGAAATTCTTGGCACCTGCAGGGAAAAGAAAAAAAAGAGAAACTTTTATCATAGATTAGGAGCTTGCTGTAATTTAGATCTATACATCCATATGCCTAATGTTTTTCTCCTCTTGTTTGTACTCCCTCCCTCATAGCTGTTCAGCGCTCTGGAACAGCTCCGCTTTGATGAGAAGGTTCGCGTGGTGGTGTTCAAGAGTGAGGTGAAAGGTGTATTTTGTGCTGGTAAGTAACAAAGGCTCTGCAAACTCTCGTTATAAAATGTGGTGGCTCTCAGGGCTGTGTGCTGATCAGAGCGTGCAGGAAGGTAGTTGGAAACGCCTGCTAAAATTAAAACGGGCTGGCTCTTGTGTGGCAAATAACAAACACGTTGTTCTCTCTTTCACCTGTGCCTCTTGGCTCAGCAATGAAGACACATGTGATGGAGTGAGCTGCACAGCCTGCGTGGTGCTACTGGTTGTTTCCGATTTAAAACCGTCTTCAAGCACAGGTGCCTCCTGCGTTGGAGGCCTTGGTTTCCAGTTTTAGGGATTATCAGCCTTACATACAGTGATTTGTGCTCCTCTGTGAGATCTGTTCGAAGGGCACAGGGGAGCACCCAAGCCACTGCTCCAGCCCAAATGTCCTCGCTCCAGCTGCCACTGACCTTACCTAACCAGAAGACTCTATCTCCAGACTTCTGAAATGGTCTGTCCTTTGAGAGGACTCTATCAGGTTCCTGGATTCTAACCTTTTTCTCCTCTATCTAGGTGCAGACTTAAAGGAGCGTGCCAAGATGGACGATGCAGAAGTTGAACACTTTGTTAAAAGGCTGAGGAGTCTCATGGATGAAATAGGTAAATTATTATCTCAGTTGGGAAATTTGTCCTAGGCTGCCTGTGCTGGGACACTTAGAAATGCTGCAGGAGGGGAAGGGTGCTGGCCCCTGTGGGTTATCCATTCAGTAGTAGCTTCTCAAATGGCTCCAGTTTATGTCTGAAATAAAGATCTGATTAGAATGAAATACCAATGATCCTGCTGCCTCTCCAAGAACAAGATGCATTTCAGTTCTGCCTTTTCTGTGACAAAGAGCAGCACGTACACAGGCATAGAATAACTACCTGCTGTAACACAGCATTCTGTGTACAGTTCTGTGCAATCCTTGGGAGACAATGCTAGAGAGAATGAGCTGTCTTGGTTGTCCTGCTCTCAATACATGGTCAGAAGCAACATGGATTTGGATCTCTGAATGGAATTACTAAATGGATTGGTGAGACACTGGAACAGGTTGCCCAGAGAAGCTGTGGATGCCCCATCCCTGGAGGGGTTGAAGCCTGGATGGGGCTTGGAGCAACCTGGTCTGGTGGGAGGTGTCGCTGCCCATGGCAGGGGACTGGAATGCGATGATCTTTGAGGTCCCTTCCAACCCAAACTATTCTATGATTCTAGGATTTGTTGAATGTCAGGGGTTTTGTACCTACAACTCCCATGCCCCGTTATTTTATTTTTTTAGTGAAAGGAATATGGATTTCTGCATTTTCTTCCCCTGTTTATGAATTATTCTGCTCTCGCTAGAGAGGAATACCAAAGTGAAATCTGACTAAAATACTAATCAGAATTGCAGTAATTAAAAAACAAACAAAAATGTAGAGGGAATAACCCTGTCTCACAGACCACAGAAGCAGTCAGGGAGTGGTGGGTAGTTACAGCACAGAACTAGCACACGTCTGAAGTCTGCTTCCAGCTTCCTGAGTATTTAAAAAGGTATCTTATCAAGCAGCTCATCCCCAGGTACCTCAGGTTCCTCAACTATGAGGTGATAACAGTGCTGACCAGGTTCAGGAGCCTTGGCTAACAAAAAACCAAGAAAAGCTAATTCTTGTAACAGTGACTAGGGATGGTGTCTTTTTAACTGCAACAGTTGTATATTCACATCATAAATTTGCAATTCATCCTGTTTTGTGTTGCGCTACTTTGTATTTTCCTGCTTCTTTGCATGTGAGAAGAATGCGCTTTGCATGAAAGAAGAATGTTCTGCATTCTTACAAAGAAGGGAGAAATGCAGAAAGTTTGTAGTGCTTAGAGATGGCCAGAAAATTTGTGGCATAAAAGAAATTGAGTTCTTGAGACGTTTTGAATTTGAGAACTACTAAAAGCTTTAGAATTTAAGCATTTAAATTCCAGAAGCGAGTGGAACAGAACTGGAACAAAACTATAGAATCTGTTTTCTTTTCTAGCTTCCCTGCCGGTACCTACAATTGCTGCAAATTTAAGCATTTAAATTCCAGAAGTGAGTGGAACAGAACTGGAACAAAACTATAGCATCTGTTTTCTTGTCTAGCTTCCCTGCCGGTACCCACAATTGCTGCAATAGATGGCTTCGCGTTGGGTGGTGGCCTGGAACTGGCTTTGGCTTGTGACCTTCGAGTAGCAGGTTTGTAATACTGTAATCGGTGACTAGAGCTTGTGATAGCTGACTGGGAATCCAGTAGGTTAAGAGAGGAACCAGCGCAGTTCAGGAAACGAGTAGGCATTTGTCCAGAAATTGTGACATTCTTGTAATCGGTGACTAGAACACGTGACAGCTGACCATTAATGGAATCCAGTAGGTTAAGAGAGGAACCAACACAGTTCAGGAAATGAGTAGGCATTTGTCCAGAAATTGTGACATTTAGTTACTATTGGGAAAGCAGTTTCCTTGCTTAAAAAGTAAAGCCTATTTTTAGACAAAATTAGGATTCTGTCAGAAAACTATTTATTGGTAGGATTAAATAGTTACTATCGTGTAATACTATATCAGCACTCGGGCTAGATCTGACCATCCCTACTTAAATCAGTTGGGGCTTGAAGACTTCTTCAGTTCTCATTCTTCCATCCATTACATTTCAGCTAGTATGGACCCAAGGTTCAGTTTTCTAAATAAAATGGCTACGTGAGGGGTAAGCAGCCACACTACCCTTCCCTCGTCTGACTGGAGGTGGACATTGATTAAGCACTGTAGTATTCAGACCTTCCAGTTCAATATTGACAGTTTGTAGTTTTATTAATCGGTTCACTATTGAAAATTTGTAGTTATACAAATCAAAAAGTAACTAAACTCTATTTTTTTTTTTTTAATAGCTTCATCAGCTAAAATGGGCCTTATTGAGACCACTAGAGGGCTTCTTCCTGGAGCAGGTAACCTTCATTACATCTTCAGTCTCTTACTTCCTCAGCTGTACACTAAATATTTTCCCATTAGAGGACTTAATGAGTTTTGAATTTAAATTAGAAGTAGCATCTTACAGTGACCCAAGAGATCTATGAATCAAGAGTTCTGTCCCAAGCCCCCTGGGACTTGCTATGGATTTAGGAAAGTTCCTCTATACCTTTTGCTCTTTATCAAAATACTCAGAAGGACGCTGAAGCCTTTCAGGTGTCTTGCAAAGTGTTGACATATTCAGTTAGTAGTTATTAAAGAAATACATGATCCCTTTATTTTTCAAACCTCCTTGCTATATAAGGAGATAAAATATTACTGGTTTTGGGGGCGTTTCTCAGAAATGGAAACTGGTGACTTTGCTGTTGTTGTAAGGTGGAACCCAGCGCCTGCCCAGATGTGTTGGAATAGGTCTGGCCAAGGAACTCATTTTCACTGGCAGACAGATTGACGGACAAGAAGCCTTCTCCATGGGATTAGTGAATCACGCGGTGCCACAGAACAGCGACGGGGACGCAGCTTACCAGAGAGCGTTAGCCCTGGCTAAAGAAATCCTCCCTCAGGTAAGGGTGTTATTCATGTGGTCGATGGAGAGAAGGCATTTCTGCTCCCTTTATGAGAGAGCAAAAATCCCTTTCTATCCAATATTAAAAGTCTTGGTTCCTGATGTTTAAGTCTTTTCACTCTGTCCTTTATTTGCGAATGCAGTTTTTGCAGGAACAAATGCTAACACTCAGCCCCTTAACCCATAGTTCCCAGTTGTGGTTATGGAGAGCTGCAGGACACATTGAAACCTTGCACCATGTGCACCCATTAACTGTGGATAATGCCAAATTGTTTTTTAAAAATACTTAGTAACTTGCTGCAAATTTCTATAGTCTAGAAGGTCATTTGGAGTTAGGATAGTGATGTACCTACGCTACTATGAGCCAATGTGGCTTTAATTATTTTTAAATGTTTATTGTGGTTTGGTTTTGTTGTTTGTTTTTTTAAATAAAGGCTCCATTTGCTGTGAGAATGGGAAAACTGGCAATAAACAGAGGAATGGAGGTAAAAAATTTATATATTTTTTTTTTAAATAATGAAGTAAATGGCCAGGCAGCTCCTACAAATTACTACCGTAAAAATGTTTAGAACGGATGAGTTATAATCCTTGTTTAGACAAGGCATGAAAAACCATTTCAGGGGTTTTAAAGATTTTCTTTAAAGACAAAATTAATACAGCAGGATTTTTTTTTTTTGTTTCTACGGATGCTAACCCTGTAGTTCTAATGCAGGAGTGAAGGTCACTCACCGTGAGTGAATTTTTATTGATTTGAGGTCTATACTTTAGTCAAATCTCACACCTTCCCTCTCATCCCCAGGTTGACATCGCCTCGGGGATGGCTATTGAGGGGATGTGTTATGCCCAGGTAGGTTACCTTCCCTTCCCTTCCCTGAACAATTGTGCCTGTTTTCTAAAGCCAGATATTCAGCATCCTCTTGTGTTTTCCTCTCGATAAGGGAACACTTTAATAGCTAAATCCAAAGCTTCGAGCAGATACTTGAGTGCGGTTCCAGATACCTGTTTTGGAATATTGGCTGTTGTGCCACACAGAGCTGCCTCTCAGCCTGCCCAAGACAAAAGGCCTTCCTTAAATACCCTTCTGTCTGAAGGAATTGTATATTCTTAGTTTCAACAACATGTTAATTACAGGATGAGCTTTACAAATGGTTTTAGTTTTAACTTTTAACAAATTAAAATTCAGATTCCTCCTGGAGTCATTCTTTCTGACAAGTTTTGAGAGAGTGCCTCCTTCTCAGCCAACGGAACAATGCAACTGCTGTGCCTCTTGGGGTGTTTTAAGGTGGTAAAGTATGAAATTTATGGAAAACTGTTTTCCTAAATAGTTCTCTGGTTTTGGTCTTAGATGCCTTGCTTGTGATTTACAAGCAAGTGATTTACAACCCAGTCTCTTCATTTAAGCAAATTGCAAAATGTGGAAGGTGGGACATAATGTATTGTTGAAAGAAAAGAATCTTAATCTTAGACCACTCCTGCCAAATTAGTCAATACTTAAAAACACATCAGACTTGTCAATGAAAAATATATCTTTTTTTTTTTTTTCTTTTTTTTCCAGCAAGTGATTTACAACCCAGTCTCTTCATTTTTTCTAATTGCAAAATGTGGAAGGTGGGACATAATGTATTGTTGAAAGAAAAGAATCTTAGTCTTCGACCACTCCTGCCAAATTAGTCAATACTTAAAAACACATCAGACTTGTCAATGAAAAATATATCTTTTTTTTTTTTTTTTTTTTTTTCCAAATGTAGAATATTCCCACAAGAGACCGTCAGGAAGGGATGGCTGCCTTCAGGGAGAAACGACCACCTCAGTTTATTGGCAAATAATGCTTCTTAGCATCTCCTTGATTTTTTGAAGGCAGAGGAGGACTGAAGAGGACCCACTCATTTTTTGGGATTATTTTTATAACTGCCTACTGTGTACTGAGCTCCTTGCCTTGGACTGCATTTCTGAATACTCCACTGGGTCATTTTGCTATAAGAATTCCCAAATAAAGATTTTACTTTGTGCAGCTGACGTTCTTAAAGTGCTTACATTTTAAGTCAGTGGTTATGGCTCTCAAACAGGTGCCAGGTAACAGAGTGTGGAGAAGCTTTGGCTCACCATAAGCAAATTAAAAAAAAGGCAGAAAAGATGCTATATCTAAACATTGACATTAAAAAAAAAAAAAATATCACTCTGAAGAAGTCAACTTGCAAAGAAAACCTTTCCTAAGATTGCTTCCCATTATTAGTGCTCTTCCAAGTAATTGGGCAGAACATTAACACAGAGCACTGGTGTTTCACCCCAGAGCTGTAGTGAATGGTGCAAAACACGGAGCTATTGCTCCGGCCAAATGAACTTACGTCTCTTTGGTATCAGGGCTTGAGAAAATGCAAGGGCTGTGTACGTATGGCCACCATATCAGTCTGTACCAGACATCTCAGGCACGTCATGTCTCTCCCATCACCTATTTTCCTGGAACGTGAAGATTTTCTTCCTCTGCTTAGAAGTTCTCCGGCACTGAGAAGCATCACACAATTTAGCTCTACAGCTTCTTACTTCCCTAGACTGGGGCTTTCAAGCAAAAGGGAATTAGTATAGTTAGGGAAACATGTAAATACTTCATAGGTTATCAAAATATACTTGCAAAAGGCAGGTTACCACATTGGAACTGGCTGTCACTTTATACTACCATAGCCTCAGAGCAAACCACAATTTCATTTGTGTGAAAGTTAACCCAGCAATTCTGTGGGTGAGGTAACCGTACCAGATTATACATGTACAAGCTTCCTATGTAAAGATCTGCAAAGGTAAAGGAGAATCAGGATCTTCAGCCTTAAACAAAAAGAGATGGCAAAATGCCACAGGTGAAATATAAGAATTTAAAAGCTGCTTCCAGAATGACTCTACCCTGCTAGGAGCTCCTGAAGCTGCATAGGAATGTGAAGAGACCTTTCTGCAAGTAAAGTCGGGGGATTTATATCTTGTAGGTATTCATACTTTTCAGCTTTTCAGCTCGCTTTTTGTTTGCCTGAAGCCTGTGGGAACAAAACAAGAAGGGTACAGAAAATCATTTACAGGAAGGGTATGGAAAATCGTTACAATGCCCTTGCTGGTTGCAGAACTTCATGAAGTGACATCTTCACCATTTGGACTAGTACCAGTGACGCATTCATTTTGTGCTGCACAGAAAAGTAGAATTTATTATTCCCCCCCACCCTCAGTTTTAGTTAAGATGCTTCAGCCAGTGCTCCTGTTATTAGGAAAAACCAGTACTCTAAGGAGAGTTGTCATCTTTATTTTAAAATCTTGTAGCAATTGATTTGTATTCATTCTATTAATACCAATTGTGACAAGTTTTGTGTTCCATTTCATGTACCACAAGTTTCATAGCAGAAGTCCTATAGCAGACATCTCAGAAGGTGGGGGGGAAAGGCTTGCAGGCCATTTTTTCCAGCCACCTTCATAATTCAAAGCTGCAACAAATTTAATTTTTTTCCAAATCAATAAAAATGTATATAGCCAAATACACACATGAAAATGATAAATATATCTCATTATATCTTTGTACAAAATCCAATTACACAACATTGATTAAATTATGTTATCAGTACCTTTTGAAGTTGCTGAAATACACAATAACTAGATTATTGAAGATTAGAGGTGATGTTTTTATTTAAAGGATGGGAGTTGGGAGAGGGAAGGAGTTAAAAATAGTAAAATGTGGTAATCATGAAGCAGCCATCCCTGCTGGTAACCTACCAAACATAAGATTTCTTTTTAAACTCAATTACCAATATATTTACAGAAGAGTCTCTGAATATCAAGCAGTTGCCATGGAAATGGGGAGACTAACCAGATAAACAAAAACAATACCTGAAAATTAAACAGAATTTGAATGGACATGCAGTTTGCTTACATAAATTGTATTTTATCAGGCATCTGTATGCTGTGCAATACGTTTCATTCAACACATCATCTGAAACCCAAAGGTAACCAAGAAAGAAAGAAGTTGTTACAGTTAGCATCTTCATGTAAAATTTTCACACTCCACAAAACAATGCAATTGACACAGGGCTTACATAGAACATCGGGTGATTATTTTGCACTGTAATGATTTGGAAATATAACTCACTGCACAATACTGACAGAATATTTACAGAAAACAAGAGAGCAATCATTAGTCTCTTATAAATAAGGTGACCAAATATCCTGGGCCTCCTATTGAGACATGCAATCCCCTTCATGATGAAGACAAGTCAGTATTTTGCTCCAAAGAGCCTTCTCCTTTCTCTATCAGTATTCTAAAAACAAGAGAAAGATATCACACACAACCAAAAGTAGTCAAACAACAACAAAAACCCCTTCTTGTTATCAAGTTTAAGATCTCAAGCTTAGTTCATCCTTTTAACATCGTGTCTCCTTTTAATCGTGTTTCTATTGCTTTACTTTAGCAGGTTTCCCCTTTCCCTGACGCAGTGCTGATCCCCACCTTACCGAGCGTAGGGAGGACTCAGGAGAGCTGAACTGCAAAAAGCCATTGTTGGAGCAGCAAGGAAAACAAAAGAACACAGCTTGCAGGCAAAAGGAAAAGGAAGTTGAAGACCCCATCTGTGTTTAGAAGGGTCATGAGACAATGGACATTTTGGTCGCCTTAGTTACAAGTCTCATTGTAACCTGCATGCATGTACTTTTGTTTTAATCTGTAAAAGTGTTGAACCTCACAACCACACACAGTTCTATTCAAACACCAAACTGGTAAACAGTGTCATGAACAGCAATCATAGGTATGAAATAATTTTCTGTCCTGGGAGTCACAAAACAAGATATTCCTAGAAGTCTTTTTTTTTTTTTTCTTCAGATGTGCATATTGATCTGTACAAGTCCCCTCTCTCTGTAGCCAGCAATAATCCTACAGGTATGACCAGCTCAAGCACTGACCCTTTACAAGTTGCATGTGCGGTTGTCATTAAAGCTGACATTCACCAAAGGTTACCGTAGACGGTTCTGGGTACCACAATTATCGGCATATCACTTTAATGGTGACCACTATATTACAAGTTACTCCAACTACACACATATCAGAAAGGATTATTACAGAGACAATATTTTACATTCCTATACCTGAAGCTTTCAGTTTGGTTTATTTTGTTGCGGTTTTCTACATGGAGGTGGTCTCCCATGACGCACAATATGTTTTTCCAAACCATCCAGGATGGCAATAGCAATCCTTTGGACATGTGGGTCAGTCTGGACATTTTCCTTGATGTTGTATAAGTGCTGTAAACCACCTTCTTCAATTAACATGCTGCAGTACCTGGCAGCTGTAATAAGATTAAAAAGGGAATTAAAACAACAACAATGTATCTAGGGTAAATGTAGCAGATACTGTAAACACTGATTCAAACTCACTTTCATCTCCTAGACCAGGCAGCACTTGGGACACTCCCTAAAGTGTCTACACCAGCGCATTTGTACTTTAGCAAGTGGCAACAGAACAACAGAGTTGTTTGGACAGGATTCCAATTATAATCAGGTCTGCTTCCATGTCTGTCACAGCTGACTGGAAAGTGCGTTGTAATATGCACAGTGTTCTCTCTCCCCTCACCACCTCTACAGGCATTTTAAATGCACATATTTAAATTTTAAGAAACGGGAGCCAAAAGTGCTATAGTATCTATGAGTACACAGGTAAAAATATCACCTTTACTAAGAACCTTGGTACACAAGAGTTACCAAAAAAATGGGATCAGATAAAAATCACACCATTTGTACAGGCTTGTAGATTGAAGAACAACCAGTTTCTTCGAAAACAGTTTGCCAAATACAATTGATGGCAGCCTTTAACTAGTTTTAAGTGGCTACGAATGCCTTTTCAGGGATAAAAATATACTTTTGTTTTTCCACTTTAATTATCAATTTTTTAAGACTTGAAAGCACACCTACATTGGCTCCAGTGTTATTACGTGCAGGGACCGTCTATAAAAAGAGCCATATGTTTAGTGTGCCATGGAAGCTTCAGAAGTTGTTATAAAAAGGTCAGGACGACTGTAATGCAATCCTGAGAGCATTACCTCAGATGTGCCCAATTTCACCATTCATCGCGGTGAAGCAACACCAGAGTTGTCTAAATGCTGACACTGAGCATTTGACCAGGGATCACATTTACTGCACGGCTACTAATATTTTGATTAAATTAACTCGTTGAGGTGGATACAATATAGAGAAACAGCAAAAGGAGAAAAAAATAAACAAGAAAAACCAACCCCATTAATTCCAGACTACTTTTCACCCTCATCTAAAAGAGAAGGTCAGAATAAAATGCATCTTCTCTCGAGGACAAGAAGCCTTTTTAGTGCCAAGCACCAAAAGCTTAAGCTTTTCCCCCCCCAAAAATCTCCATGTTTCAGAATTAAACACATTTTTCCCTCAGACTAGGTTATTTCATTTGCTACCAAACATTTGGTTTCTCTGCAACTTTGTCCAGAAGCTTCTGGCACCAACTACCACCAGAACTAAACTTCATGAATATTGTCTTGATCTCAAGCTCAGGAGTGAGCCATCCAAGTATTTCCAGCCTCTCTGTTCTACAGAGCAGTTACTCACTGTCAATACAAACCTCTGTGGCATGTGGAAAGCCCAGAGGTTAGGGCAGCACAACATAAACACTAAAAATAAATAGAACAAATAGAACCATACTAAGTTCACAGGGCTGAGGCACAAAGAGGGGGAGAGAGCTTGCTTTAATTTCATTAACACAGAATTACAGGGTCTTAATCAAAAACTGTTATCCAGACTGTGACCAGTAAAGCAAGTGTGAGGACTTTGACATGTTGAAGTAAGACTGTTCTGACAGTGTACCCTGGGAACAGTGTCTCATCACAGTTACAAGCTCCATAAAGAGAATGAAAACAGTACTTTATGTGCAATTATATATTATGCCATGTTATTGTTTGGTCCCGAATAGAAGTCTTTTCACTGTAGAAACAGTGATTTATGGGACAGGGACAAACAAGTATGTACTGCTGTCA